TGTATACAACAATATCCAACACCAGGCCACTGTCACAATCACAGAGTACAAACAGTTTTATACCAAAGCGTTTCCTCTTGCTCAGTATGTACTGCTTGAATGACAGTCTACCTTTGAACAAAATCAAAGACTCGTCAATTACAAGATTCTTGAATGGATAAAAGTATATGCTGAACTTTCATTTGAGATACATGAAAACATTTCTAATCTTGTTAAACCTGTCACTTCTGTCAGGCCTGGTTTTGTCAGAGAAGTGCAACATACGTAAGAGTAGGATAAACCTGTTCACTGGTATGATTTCACTGAAGACCGGACCAGTATGCTTTTATATTATGCTTATAGACGTGAGGCATAAGCATTATTGTTGCAAAAAGCAAATACATTTCTGGAACAGTCGTCTCTTTCCACCTGTGTAGTCTTGACTGTGGTGATAAGATCGTATTTGCCATGGTGTACTCAAAATACTTATTACTTTCCCTGACAATAATTTCCATCAATGGCTGGTCGAAGAATAATTCAAAGAATTCCAGTTCATTGGCCGTGGTTCCAAGGGGACAAGTAGGTAGAACTCCACTTTGGGAACAAAATTGGGATTTTGCTGCCAATCCCACATATGGTTTGCTGGTGGATACTGGACATCATAGGCTGGTTGTGCGGGTGGTTGTGGTTGTGGTGGGCTGGTGGCTGGCGCTCCGCTTTGTCCTTGAACTGACGAGTCAGCAGCGTGGGTCCCAGCGTGGCCTGGTGAGTCACGCATGGCGGTGCCACTACCATCACCACTAACACCATCCACTGATGCCTGTGGTCTATCCATGCCAAGTGTAGCCACATCATCCTCACTATCACTACCTAAAACTGGTGTTGGGCCACGGGATGTACTCCGGGATGTACTCCGTCCCCTGGGCACAGCATAGGGTACACTACCCGAGCGCATGCGGCGGCGAACATACCGACGCTTCACTGGTGAATATGATTCCTCACTATCACTACTCGATTGATCGTCGAGCACAATAAAATCACAGTCCACGTCACTATCATCATCATTACTGAAGTCAGAGGCCTGGCCACGCGAAAATATTAGTTTTCTCTTGCGATGAGGAACAACCGACCGTGAGTCACGAGTGCCCACACCAGAGGTAGAAGGTTGAGGATTGTCAGGGTTTTCTGCACTATTATCGATATCCTGGTCATTCTTTTCGGTCACTAACTGATCAAAGCCGTAGAATTTGTCTTCATTTCCACTTCCATCAGTGTCAGAACTATCAGATAGGAAGAGGAGAGTCCCAATTTTCTGGGGAGTGAGAGCTGACTTGCGACGAGGCATGGTGAACAAGGGTAACTGAGCCGGCGTTCCCACAATGCTATGCGGGCGCCTAGATTTTTTGTTTATGGCGCACACCCACCACGCAGACCCGTTCTCTCACATGTAGGCCTATGAGCGTTTTCGCGCTAAATTTGACGGCGCTAGAATTTTGGCGTAGATCTACAGTTTGGACACTCAACGTAAAGCCATTGATCTACGGGACGGACCCTGAAAGGGTTAAAGGAGGGTTTTGGGATATTGGCAGTTTGGAGTGACTATCTAAACTGTCATATCTGGCTGCCTCTGCAAAGACAGTGATTAAGTATGAGTCATGGTGAAAGTGTTAAATGATAATGAAAGTTTTTTTTCTTTCTTTTTGGGTTTTCTTTCCTTTTGGGTTTTCTTTCTTTTGGTGGGAAATAGTGTTAAGAGAAAAATAAAATAGGAACAGTTTTCTCACTATGGTGTAGCATCCCCTTAAAATTTCAGTTGTTTCTGTGGAAATAGCAGCTTACCTGTTGTACATGATGGATAGTGAGGCCAGTAGTTCCTCCACTACCAGCCACAGCTGAGGTGAGGTAAGTGACCTGGCCAGGGGCTAGGCCAGCAGTACTGCCACTTGTAACGCCACCGCCAACAGTATTGCTGCCCCCACCAACACCTGAACCCACTGTATTTGCAACTCCACTACCACTTACTGAAATATAATGTTCAAAAAAATTAGCAAGTACCTATACATATATAACTCAATCTGTAGTTATTTACTATGATGCAATAATGTTATATATAGTACAGTACAAAAAAATTTACAATCTGGCTACATTCATGGTTAAAAATAACTTTTAAAGAACTAGAGCACACTGATTAGAACACAATACGTACCTAGTTTTTAACCACCTTATGCAGTTGAAATAATTATACTGTACTATGAGCTATCATGTGATCCTGTTTCATTGTTTATGCACTATCATGATGAAGGGAAAGAAGTATGCTAATGTTAGCTGGTCAACTCAAGTTTAAGCCAACATGATCTCTTCTTTACACAATTGTTTCAGAGTTTGTTAAACACCATCACATCTTGAAGACTTCACTATGTTGTCTACAGAAGGTATACAAGTTTAACATACACACACAATCAGAACAGTACATACATGAAAGCTAAGCCACAATTTCTACATTGTCACCAAGACTGTCTGGAACAAATCACAAAATGAAAGGCTTGAACCCATTCCGTGATTTATTTGCAATCATATTACGATTTTGTTTGTCTGAAACAGTTGGAATGAAAGGTAACACCCTACAATTAACAAACCAGCAACAGTTCTTCACCAGCTGTATTTCACCACAAGACACAATAATGTCAACTGTTAAAGAAGCAATATTTGAAAGTTCATGATATAATTCTTGGAGCAGTTGAAGACCAAATTTAAAAAATAAAATAAAAAAAAAGCAATATGGTCTTTAATACTGTATTCAAGATTTATCATCTTGGAATTTTTTCTTCTTCTCAATTAGTTTTGCCACTAAAGGGAGGTTTCCGGATGCCAGCTAAAGGCTCTTGATCCAATTACTTGGACCTATGTATCCCTTCCTTGGACTGAACCTGAATTCTCCCATTTTCCAGGTGCTGCATCACTCACAAATTTAGTATTCCCCTCATGAATGTAACAATATCAACATCTCAGTTTGGAGAGTAGTATTAAAACAAACACACACACACACACACACACACACACACACACACACACACACACACACACACACACACACACACACACACACACACAACAAACAAACACACACACCCACACATATACACTCTCTCTCTAACCTAATGTATTTAAAAAAGAAGGAAAAAAAAAAAAGGTTAACAAAATACAGTACAGCTTCTTCCTCACTTAACGGCAGAGTTCTATTCCTAAGACCACATCAGTAAATGAATTCAATGCTAAGTCAGGAGCATACTATAATGGTAGTGAGTTTGTGTCAATCATCTTTGATATTGTTTTAATGTCACCTCTGCACCATTTATAACATTTCTGGTATATTTTTAAATGTTTATACAGTAGTGTACTGTATATTGTAATATGTAAACAGAATAGAGGAAATCAGCTCTAATATACATTATTTAGGTATGCATACTGGTTACAGAGCCCATCGTAAGTCCGAGTTGTCAGTAAATGAGTATGCTGCTAAGTGAAGAGCGGCTGTATCATTCAGTAGCAGAGATGGTAATCAATCTATTCAGGGCCAAGTATTTGTATGGTACGTATGAGCCGTTATGCAGCAGAAAAGAATAAGTGCCACTTTAATCAATTCCTTCATCTGTAAGTTAGGCTCAGAGCCCCATAATAAAATATGGTAACTTGAGTTTCATAGCTCCAATCTCTCCTATGCTTGCATTTTTTCCCA